TAAGAATTTATTGTTCTAGAAATGGGATTTTGATTTGGATTTAGTATTTTGGATATTGGAACATTATGACAACAAGTATTATATAATGTTTTGATATACTAGGATATGATCATAACATCAATATTTGTTGTGTTCTATATTAACATGTATAATCCATGAATAATCTTTTTATTTTAAAAGTTAATAGTAGGTTATAATTATGGGAGCAATTATGAAGTAAGACTAATATGAATTAGATTAGTTGACTTTCACCAAATGAAAGTAGGCAATGGGTTGTAACCAAGTTTCTTAAGTACTGGTCAGAGAACTAGTATTGAACTGACCGGCATCAAGATAAACTCATGGATCGCTATCATGAGTGATACTTGATTAAAAGATATTATCTTTGTATCCTTCACACCTAAGATACATAGTGGGACTTAAGTGTAGGGAGTGTTGTGCTTTGATATGGTCAAATGTTGGTCCTTAACCAGGTAGTTATAAAAGCAATTTTCAGGTATGGTGTGAACTATAAAAGCGGCTTATCGAGATGGGATTTGTTCCTCTTATGTGTTGAGAGTTAGACGTCTAAGGCGCCTTACCAAAAGTTGAACACCTAATGAGATTGATTGTGATTTGTATCTCATGTTCAACATGATGTCTGTGACAAAGGGATAACTGATAAACTTACCTTATACACCATTTGTAGCTTTGAGCTTCTGGGAATTGGGGGTTGATAAAATGGCACAAAGTCGTATGTTGATGGGGGCAGTGAAATTTTGCTAGACGTTCACCACTATCTATATCAGTTTAATATGAATCTTGTGCAAGTGGGAGATTGAAAGATATAGTATGCTCAAGAAGCATATTAAAGTGATATTACTGATTAACATATGATACTAATGGGTCATACTAACAACAACTTGATACTATTGATTGTTTATTACAAATTGATTTTAATAAAATAAATTATAAACTCTTATAATTAATTGGAAATTATTTATTTCATGGAAATATTAATTTTCAATGGCAAGTAACATAATATATCATGTGATATGATTTATTAAGTCATGTACACTATTTTGGACTATAAAGACTTTTGTGTTTTACCCAAAAGTCAAAGTTAATATTTTATAAGAAGTTTACAAAATTTATAAACTTTTTTCTTCTTTTATATCTTTATAAGAATGAATAAAAAGAAGCATGACCTTTGATTATTTAAATCAAAAGAAAGCATGGAATAAAGTTATGGGGAACATTAGGGACACAATAGGTCTCAAAGTGCTAAGACCTTATAGGTATTACCTTTTCTTTAAGACAATAACATGAAGGCTTTCATTTTTGGTGCATTTTTCATGTCAAAACCATAGCGTTTTGTTTCTCCCTCATTCTCTCTAGTTTTGGTTCATTAATTAGAAGACAACTTGCACTTTTACTCTTTTAAAGTTCATACTTTGGTTATGAACTTTAAACTTAAGAGTATAAGAGTTTGAAGACTAACATCATCATCAAGTTGGATTATTGTTGGTGTCTCAAAGGTTTCTACATTCTTCAACAACTTCCTAACCTCCCCTTGAGGATTTAAAAACTACAAATGTTGGTATGCTCTTTTTCTTCTTTGGTTGTTGTTTAATCTTTCTACAACTTGCAAGATGATCCTTGGTGTGTATAATTTGTTATGTTATTTTCAAAAAAATACAAGTATTCTGTTTGCCATTTTACTAGTTTATGAAACTAGTTTTAGAATAAAACCCCAACTAAATTAACAAACCAGTTTATCTCTTTCTCTCTCTCTCTCTCTCTATATATATATCTATATCTATATATATATATATATATATATATATATATATATATATATATATATATACACACTAAAGTCATTTCTAGTTATTTCTAGTTGGTGGGAGCAACAAAAAATGGACTTTACTTTTATTCTATAAAGTTATACCAATTTAGTTATGAATTTTGACCAATTTAGTTATGACCTTGGACACTTATTCCAACAATATAAACCTTGTGGCTCTGTTGTTTATTGGGAAACACGTCATCAACAAGTTTCTGGATGATGAACCTTATCGATTCCACTTCATATAGATAAACGAATTCTTGCAATCTCTCGCCTATGACATTGGGAGCTTTGATGTTGAACTTCATGATCCCTTCGATTGAAATTCACTTAAAGACATCAACAATGTCTTCGAAGTAATATAAAACAGATGATACATAGTTCATGATGATCAAGAACCTCGAGTCATTTATAGTTAAGGAGATAAAGGTCCTAAATACTTCATTAGGTTACGATAAAATCATCGTTGCACCTCCTTATTCCTATAAAGTATCGATGACATCAAATTGAAATACAAGAGGGCTCTTAAAGATTTAAAAGTCTTAATCATGAAAGATGTAGAATGAGTATTTATGGTTCATGCGTTCATCAAGAGAGTTATAGACTTCCTTGACAACAACCACTCAGGTGGTCAGTAGAGGGCACTTAAGGAGAGATTGTTGATACATAAGTTGATCAATACAGACATATCTGAAGTGTTGACGATCTGAAGACTTAATGATATGAAGAGTGAATACACCATAATGTTGGGATCCGAAGGTGAAATAAGATTAGAAGACTTTTATGGTGTTAGTATTTAGAAGACATTATATGATTGTAACTAATGTGGTTATATTATGTTCATTGAGTTGTATTTCTTAAAATATACTACAACTAATGTAGCTTTATGGTCGTCATTATACTCTACCTTGTATCACATATGTGATCTGGGTTTCCATTGTAATTGTCCAACTTTGAATATTTTCAATCAACCAATGTTTCTCTCATATTGTTTGGGGGTGCTTGAGATTGCTTTTCAAAACAGTTTATTGGCTTGTTGAAAAACTAATAAGTTAAAAAAAGTGTTTGACATGCTCAAAAGCACTTTTCATAATAGTTTTTCTATTTGCTTAAAAAATCACTTTTTAAAAAACATGTAAATTTTGGCTTTTTGAAAATGTTTTTGGCTTTTTAACCAAAATAACTTCAAAAAACACTTTTTATGTCAAACACTTTTTAACTTATTGACTTATTGGTTTTTTCACCATAAAAGCTAATCCAAACACTTTTAAAAAACTCTTTTTACCACCAATAAGTCAATAAACACTTTTAACTAAAAACACTTTTAGAGTTCAAAAAATACTCTAAACACCTTTTTTTTTAACGAACTCTTACCATATCAATGTTACCAAACATTGTTTAAAAATGGGATAATGACTTAAAAGGATAACATATTTTTCGATATGTACACATCTGGTCATTGAGTTTTTTTGTCCACATTTACCCATTCAACTTGTTAAACTGTACACATTCAGTCCTTATGACCGGTTACTCCAGGTTAGCCGGGAAAATGACTTAATAAGGTAATATATTTCTTATTTTGTACATATTTAGTTCTTAATATTTTTGTACACATTTAGTCTTATTATTGTTTTATTTCAAAATAAGTCATTTTTATTTTTGTACCCATTCAGTTTTTATGAATGATTTCTTTAGGTTTTTCTCACGACATCTTATGTGGGACAATCATTGATGAAGTATGTGGGGCTATTGATGTTTATATGTAACGTCTCATTTTCACAATAAAAAAATTTTATTTTTAAATAAGGCAAAACTCCCTAATTATAAATCCATTATTAAGAAAAAAAAACGTTTATTCCAAAATACATTTATCGAAAATCAGAGTAATATAAGAAACACTGAATTCTCAATATTGTTGATGAGTGTATACAATCATGTCTTCGCCTTCCCACGATCAACAATAGAACCTGAAAACATAAAAAACTGGGTAAGCACAAAGTTTAGTGAGTTTCTCCCAAAATACCCGATACAATAAACGTATTATCATGCATAACGGGCTCACACTCATCAGACTGGAATACCTTGGCCCAATCAATCATCGGATTGGAATGTCAAAATGCAACAGGTCCAATCAGTCATCAAACTGGAATACATAGAGTTTGTTGGCATACCGCCTTAACCCAACCGCTCTTCTCAAGCCTCCGTGTCTACGACTTACAGCCATATGGCTATCCCACGTAAGATGTTATGAAAAAAAAACCTAAAGAACTCATTCATAAGTATTGAATGAGTACAAAAACAAAAATGACTTATTTTGCAACAAAAAAAATATTTATGACTAAATGTGTACAAAAATATTAAAGATTAAATGTGTAAAAAGTAAGAAATATATTACCCTATTAAGTCATTTTTACCGGCTAACCTGGAGTAGTCGGTCATAATGACTAAATGTGTACAGTTTAACAAGTTGAAAGGATAAATATGGACGAAAAAAAATCAATAACTAAATATATACAAATCAAAAAAATATATTACCCTTTTAAGTCGGTATCCCTTTAAAAATTATCAACTTCTTCTATAATATATGTCATAAGGTATTGGTTGTTGGTCCTCGTCTTCATTGTTGGCTTTATATGTAAAATTAAATGTTGTTCGTGATTACCTAGCAATCCTATACGTATGCTAATTGTAAAACTGATTGTACGTAAAGTAGATTCACTAATAGTAATAACTCGCAAGACCATAACAATATTAGTATATTACTATTGGAAAAGTGACATCGCCAATTAACAGTCATTATTTCATGGGATTGGTTCTATTTTTTAACAAAACAACTTATGTGATTTTTGTCATTTTCTGTGTAGTGGGCCTGCCGTGGTTATTTTAATGAAATTAAAAGAGTGGTGATCAAAATATCGTGAAGTTAATTCTTAAATTAAATATCGGATGGAGGATTGTTGTATGTATAATACACATTGTAAATATAGTGCCAAAAGTGAAAAATGTAACCCTTTTCAAACGTATACAGATAGAAGTATTGCAGAAAACACCGTCAACGCCATTGTAAACCCCAAAAAGTGCAGGCCATGACTTTACAAAAACCACAAAAGTGGAGGCATACCACCAGTCTCCATCTGCCATCTTTCATCTTCAACGCACAGTAGAGATGAGCATGAACAGGTCAGAGTCAGAGGCAAAAGATCAATTTAGCAAGCTCCCTGATGATCTGTTCGTCTTAATCCTAACAAAAATCCGTCAACAAGACTTCAAATTCCTGTCTCGGTGCTCTCTGATCTCCAAACTTTTTGCTTCATCAATCCCTCTTATGCCTTCTGTTTCTATCTCAATATCCCCGCCAAATACTCCAAAACCCACTTCAGATTTCTCCAAATCATCCTTACAAGACGTCGCCGATCGGTTTATCGACCGGAAAATGGACTACTTGACTTCCCTTCGGCCTCAGATCCAAAAAGCCCTAATTTTCCTCAAAAAGTTCACAATGATTCGAGCTCTTGATGTTGTTTTCATCACCGACGACGATGATGAAGATGACCCGAAAGAAGGGGGGTTTCGATACGGGTTTCTCCCATCTTTAATCAATTGGAAAACCAAATTCGATTTCAAGTTACAAACCTTTGTGTTCCTCTTCGCTCAATCTATCCTCGGAAAATCAGAGCAAACGGAGGAAGCCATGGCTGTAATCAACCAGGTAACAGCTGAGGAACTCGAATTACGACTTTACTCTTCTTTCCATGGTGTTGTTGATTCCATCGAATGGGGGAATGTCATGTCATGTTTATTAGTTCAGCATCCAATGCTTCGTGAGATCACAATTGCAGGTTCCAGAAAAGGGGGTAAAATCTGCTTGACAGCACAAGAGATTCTCGATTTAAGAAATTCTTTGTCGCCTGAAGATGTTTCCAGGATCTCCGGAAATGGAAATGGGATTGGAGTGACGATCAATGTGAAATCTGCATATATTCCTGTATTACGTCTGCCATCATCTGGTTATGCCATGAAATCAGTATCTCTTGTGGTTGTGAGAGTAGGGAGAAGACTTTATCATCCGGGAGACGAAGCTTTTCCTACTGAAACCGACACAGAGACTGATTCAGACTCTGATGATGATCATGAAGATGGTCAGATTGAGTATGACGATAATGATATAATAAATTGGGAATTTGATTCAGAAGAAGAAGTTTTTCGTGAAGCTGTAACTTTGATTTTGGTGGATCATAAGGACAAGATGCAACGAGAAACCTAAAAAACTGTTGAATTTTTTTAGTTGAATTTTTGTACGCGGGTATTGTATTGCTTCATACATTATCAATTATTCAATTACATCGAGGGTAAAAAAAAATTACTGTGACTCACAAACAACCTTATTATCTGATGTTTGTTTTGTAACTTGATACACTTGATGCTTTTATAGGTAAATAAATATTTGTTTTTTTATTCATATTATTTTTATACATTAATGTAGTTCGGTTAGTAGTCTCAATCAGTTTTTTTTTTTTAAAATGTAGAATTGTAGTTTACATAGCATTGTTGTTACACAAACATTATTTATCTATTTAGTGGATGTAATGGAATGAACCAAGAAACCGAATTAACAATATTATCGATTGTTTTGTTGTATTCAGATGTCATGTTTGGTTACTTTTTTTAATGTAAAAAATCATTAATACGTATTGTCTGTTAGGTATTAAAAGAAAGGTGAATGGAATGAAACCAAGTGATAACAAAAATACCCTTAGAACACAAAATGCATATGATTTATTATATCTTTTACATATATTAATTAAAAAAATTATTGTATAATATAATGAATGGATATTAAATAAAAAACTAGAATTATCGCATAACATAAAATAACTATGTAGTTGTTTTTGTAATAACAATAGCAATAGCATTATAGCAGCAGAGGTGCAGAATCCGTAAAATGTGGTAGGGCATATAGAAGTTGACAATCAGGTCTTTTCTTGACGAAATTCATTGTGTCACTAAGATGATCTCCAATATGTTCACAACAAAAACTTGTAGAATGGGAAAATAAAGAAAAGTCATAGTGTACACTAAGACATAAACATGGGTACTTCTTAAAGAGGCGTACAGAGAAGCTGCAAAAAGATAATAAAAAAATTAGAAAGCGGTGAAACAATACATGAATAATCAGAAAACTAAGAAGCCGGAAATCATTATCGACAAATAATGATCAAAAAACAATTATATGCAAGGTTGAGACTATCCATCAACCCTAATGTTTCGCCTCCAAACTACCCTATAAGAGACCATGTCATCGGTAAAAGCAAACTCTTCAATGTCAATCCGCACATTATCCTCCAACTTCTATAATGTCCAGATTTTCAGAATAATTTTGTCATTTTTAAAATAGAATAAACATCCATTTTCATAAGGATACACTCAAGGCAAAACCATTTATTCATAAACCATAATTCAAAATCATAGTTATAAAGGAAAGTAACACATACTCTCGAATCACAAAAACTGTTGATGTGTGTGTATAGTCACGCCTTCGCATTCCCACAAACCGATAAAGTACTTGAGAAACATTTAACCCACAATTGTAAACACAAAGCTTGGTGAGGTCCCTAAAATACCATATACACACAATATACACACAATGCATACAAACATGGTCTTTAGTGGGAAGCTGGTCCGCCCCCTTTGGCCTTCAGCACAAAGTTGGTCCTCCCCGACCTTAAGCACGTAGATGGTCTGCACCTTTTGGCCTTCAACACAAAGTTGCTCTGCTTTGGCCTTCAGCACATAGCTCGTCCTCCTTGGCCTTCAGCATGTAGTTGGTCTGCCCTCTTGCCTTCATCATAAAGTTGGTCTGCATGTAGTATCTTGGCCTATAGCACATAGTTGGACCGCCCTCAACTCAAAACATAAAATGTCTACATAGTTATATCATACAGATACATAATAATCCCACACACATGCAACTAACTAACAAGTTTATCTTCCTAACAACATATCTCTGGATAAATACATCCTATCATATAGATGATACATAATGCAGTATAAAGTATAAAGAGAATACTCACCTGATCAAACCAGCATAAGCTCAACAACAACAAATATCACAACTAGCATTTTAGCTAGGAAAATTCTATTCTCATGAAATCATTCAACTATTGTAAAGCATGTACTCTGAGTGAATATCAATCAATGCCCATTTAAATACATCTCTTATGTTTAATTAAGGGTTGAAAACCCTAGAGATCCAGGTTCAAGTTCATTATGGACTAGGATTTCCTTATTGAGCCTAATGGACCAATAAGCATTCAATTCAACTATATTGAGCTTGGAAACGCTATTTGGATTCTAAATGGACCCACTTCATAAATCTATAACATTTTGGACCATTTGGGCCTAGAATGATTCATTCTAACCCTTAATGGGCCATATTGGGCCATAATTGATCCAATTAACCCTAATGGACCATAAAACCCATTCTTATATGTCATTTGGGCCGTGAATTACCCTAAAGGCCCAATGGGCCGAAAAGTAATTATTGGGCCTCATAATTTCGAACCAAGGCTAGAAATGGGCCAAGTTAATCCACCTTCTTTCTCTTTAGCCCATTCTCGGCCAAGATAAAAAAAGAAAGAAAGAAAGAAAATGGATAATTAATCTTAACCATGCCACCTCATTTTTTGTTTAAAGGATAACTAGGTATTTGTTCAACATATAACTAGACAAAATCTCATGTTTCCATGCACTCTTCTTCCCTCCCTTCTTATCTTCGGCCGAGAGTAGGCTAGCAACACACACACTCAAAAATTCTCTCCAAAACATCTCTAAAATCATCCTTTTCTTTCATCAAAGATCTCAAAGTTTTGCTTGTATTTCAAGAGTAATCTTCAAGGTTTCAACTTCTTGGTAAGTGTTTATCATGTATAAACACATATTATCCATCTTAATGCTAAGAATTCTTTCTTACATAATCTTCTTTCATGTTCTAACTCATTAAAACCACCTAAGTTTGAAAACCACTCAAGGAGCTTGCTAGAGCCTAAAATCACATCAACTTCTTCCATTTATTCTTCAAAACCGAAACATCAAAGCAAAGGTGAGTTCATACCCCCTTGTTTTCGGTTTTTACATGTTTTTGGGGGACAATACAAGTAAAATGTGTAGATCTATGTGTCTTATGCATGATATGTGTGATTTCTTGAATTATGTTGTGAAAATGTGTTAGATCTAGACAAATCTCGAAACCCTTCACAAAAATAAGTAGAATCCATAAACTAAAACATTTTTATACATCATACTACAAGGACAATAGTATATTGCATGTCTAAAATGTGTAAAACCAAAACAAAAGCTTTATATAAGAATCTTTGACAAATAAAGTAAAGTTTGGGGTTAAAAGTGATGTTTTTAGTTTTGTAAGGATCAAAGATGTCATATTAGATAAAAACTGAAAAATGTATGATAATCACTCTTTTCAAAGGACCAAAAATGTAAATTTTAGCATTTTGGGCTTAGAAGTTTGGGCCTTACGGTTTTGGGCCCACTTTGCGAAAAAATGAGGCTTTTGGGATTAAAAATGTTAATTGATCAAAAGTGTGAGCCCAAAATGTAAATAAACCAAAAATCAGGTTTAAAATGACATTATTACTACATTGGGTTAAAAATGAAAAGTTTTTTGGAATTTGGGCCGAAAATGTAAAATTCACGGAAAATGGGCCAAAAATGTAAACTTTTGCCAAATAAGGGTTGGATATGTCAATAAGTGCATTTTCGGCTGAAATTGTAATTTAAATTATAATTGGACCAAAAATGCCAAGTAAAATGACTTAAAGGACTAAAAATGTTATTTTTCATCAAAAAGGACTAACAATGTCATTTTATACTAAGAAGGGGCTGAAAATGTAATTTCATGAGAAAAAGGGGCTGAATTGGTCAAATAAATATTTTGAGTCGAGTATGTCATTATTAAACCATGGGGCCAAGGATATAAACTTTTATAAGGATTTAAAAATGATATATATTTTTTTTATAAACTAATAATATCGTTATAAATCAAACGTGGGCATCTTAACATCATACGTAAATGCTTCATATAAAAACACTATACCACATCAAATATACAAAAATAGAACAATGGTAAGAATATTGGGTCTGGTACTTGTAATATGTGCTTAATGGGCCTTCGTGATCCATTTGCATGTTTATTGGGCCCAATATATTCATTTCATGTCTATTGGGTCTTAGTGATCCAATTACATGCTTAATGGGCCTTAAATTATCCTTTACATGTTTGTTGGGCCTTAGCAGCCCATTTACATGATAACTGGGCCTGGACTATTCATTATGTGCTTAATGGGCCTTAAGTGTCATTTTTGCATATCAAATAAGCCTTAAAACAATTTACACGTCTAATGGGCCACATTTGTCCTTTTTCATGTTGGTTGGGCTTTACCATTTCACATTCATATATCACCAGGTGTTTGTAAAACTAAATACATATAACGTTATACATATTCATGTGGAAATATTTGGGATCTAGTGGGACTCGTCGGTTGACATCACTGAGTATATGGTCGTAGCATGTAGTTATAATCAGAGTCTCCTAGAGGGAGAGCGAGAGTTTGTGTATAGATCTATACGGGGTGACCCCCCACGCCTTAGTTGTTCGCTACAGCTAGACTAGGCCAGTCTAGGGCGACAAAACCTTGACCAAATATCGGCGTTTGGAAAATGCCAAGGCAGGCAAATTAGTCTTTATCATGCATGGTTATAACGACTCACATAGAGATCCAATACCATCTTAGCATTCCGGAAATCAAACTCTTAATCGTGTCGATACAAAACACTTTATACGATAATGCAAGAACTATAACACTTTTATAAGTTAGAAAATATCGGATTTTCTGGGGAAAGCTCTATTAGTCATTATCTCTTTCTTATAACAGATATAATACAAGGAATTTGGATCTTTCATTCATACATAATTTTACAATGAAAATCACACATACAATTATACTTGATCATTACATCTTTTTTAGAGAATTTTACAGAAAATATCGGATTTTCTGGGTGATGCGCCCAATACAAAATTTTTCAATCAAATATGCTTATGAACTCACCAACATTATATATGTTGACCGTTTTCAAAATAACTTGTATTCTCAGGTAATTGATAAGCTGAAGAACCGTCAAGAGTATTTTGGGATTTCTTTTATGCAAATGTCAATTATCGTACAATTATGCTTTTGAATTATGTAATGT